GCCGGGAGTTACTTTCAGATACCTCAGAATACGAGTCACAGCCCCCATATGATCTACACTAGGAGAGTGCATAAACTGACTCACCATACTTACAACATATGCAATGTCCGGACGGGTATGAGATAAATAAATCAACTTCCCCACAAGTCTTTGATAACGTTCTTTATCAGTCGGAACGTGATCGGGATATAATCCTAACTTATGATTCTGCTCACTAGGGGTATCAATCGGTTTACAATCCAACATTCCAGTTTCTACAAGTAAATCCAAAACGTACTTTCTTTGGGATAGGAAAATACCATGTTTAGACCTGGCAACTTCAATCCCAAGAAAGTACTTTAAATCACCCAATTATTTCATCTCGAACTCGGAAGCCAGATACTTCTGAAGACTCTGTATTTCTACATGATCATCTCCAGTCACAATCATATCATCCACATAAATAATTAAAGCCGTCAATTTACCTTTATGATGCTTCAGAAACAAAGTATGATCAGAGTTACTTTGCACATACCCAAACTTTTTCATGGATGCAGCAAATCTTCCAAACCACGCTCTTGGAGACTGCTTTAATCCATACAAAGATTTCCGTAGCTTGCACACCACACCCTCCTTAGAGGTCACAGGGATACCCGGCGGAAGATGCATGTATATTTCTTCCTTGAGGTCACCATGGAGGAATGCATTTTTAACATCAAATTGTAACAGCGGGCAATCATTGTTAGCAGCTAAGGACAAGAGCACGCGCACAGTGTTGAGCTTTGCTACTGGAGCAAAAGTCTCCGTGTAATCCACTCCATAGGTCTGAGTATACCCTTTTGCTACCAATCTTGCCTTGTAACGGTCAATAGACCTATCAGCCTTGTGCTTCAAAGTAAACACCCATCTGCACCCAACTGCTTTTTTTCCTTTTGGTAGAGGAACAAACTCCCAAGTGGCATTCTTATTCAAGGCTTCCATCTCAATATGCATTGCATCTTACCAATTTTGATCAGATAGAGCATCCTGCAACTTAGTTGGCACACATACACTAGATAATTGACACAAATATGATGCATATGACTTAGATAAACGATGAGTTGACATATAATGGTTAATGGGATATTTGGACTTGGCATGTATATCAGGAGAATATTGTACTTTAGGTTTTCCACGGGTAGTGCGTGGAGGCAAAAAATAATTAGACACATCACTAGAAAGTACCTCATTATCACGAGATGATTGGGGCAGTGGCAGGGCAGAGGGGGGGTCTTGTATCAATTTCATCTGTATGAGAGTTGCTAGTATCACTGCTACGTCCCTCTAATGAAGACTCAAAAAATTCCAGATTTTCACCTGGCGACCAGTCGTCGCACTCAAGGCGACCGGTCGCTTCACTTGCATCGTCACTATCGTCGCTCGTCAAGGAAGGCGACTGGTCGCTTACTACCTCGCGACCGGTCGCTTCCTGTGTCTCGAAAATTCCTTCCAGGCAGGTTCGTTGGCGACCGGTCGCTTCTTCCATGCGACCGGTCGCTTCCTGTGTCTTGGAAATTCCTTCCAAGCAGATTCGTTGGCGACCGGTCGCTTCCTGTGTCTCAAAAAATTCTTCTTCAAATCCAACTTTTTCCACATTGTCTGCTCCGAAACTCTTCAATTCACTCCCCCTCTCCCCCTGAATTGAAGAGGAGGGAGAAACATAATATGGAACTTCTTCATGAAATGTGACATCCAAAGTAACATGCACTTTCTGGGTAGGTGGATGATAGCATTTATAACCCTTCTGAGTAGAAGAATAACCAATAAAGACACATCGCAGAGCACAAGGATCAAGTTTACTCCGTTGATGAGAGTAGATATGAACATAAGCAACACATCCAAAAACTTTAGGTGGCAACTTGGAGATGGAGACAGGGGAAACATGGCCACCAAACACATCATGCGGGGTCTTGAAATCAAGAACCCTGCTAGGCGTACGATTAATCAAATAGGCAGCAGACAGAACAGCATGCCCCCAAAGGTGATGGGGAACAGACATATCCAACATGAGTGAGCGGACAACTTCAAGCAAGTGGCGGTTCTTTCTTTCAGACACACCATTTTGTTGAGGAGTAAAAGGGGTTGTCGTTTGGTGAATAATACCTTGAGCACGGAAGAAAGACGCCAAAGTATTATTCACATATTCACCTCCGTTATCTGTCCGGAATACTTTGACCTGAGCATGAAACTGAGTAGACACCATAGTACAAAACTCTGGAAGGATGAAAGCAACATCATGTTTATTTTTCAGCAAGAAAACCTAAGTAAGTCGGGTATAATCATCAATAAATGTGACGAACCAACGAAATCCGTTCGAAGTAACACGAGCTGGACCCCACACATCAGAATGTACTAAATCAAAAGGTTTTGCAGCTTTACTGTCACTCAAAGGAAACACAGTGCGATGGCTCTTGGCCAAAATACATGTCTCACACTTAAAACTGGACTCATCACAGGAGCGAAATAAAGATGGAAACAGACACTTAAGGTAGCCAAATGACGGGTGTCCTAAGCGACGATGCCATAACCAAATTTGCTGTTTGTTTTTGACACTACAACTTTGAACAGTATAACGACACGATCACGAACTGGTGTAGAAGGCAATGTCAAATAATATAACCCCCCTATCCGTTTACCATGCCCAATCACCTCGTGAGTCTTGAGATCCTGAAAAGAGCAATGTGTAGGATAGAAAGTAGCAGAAGCATTAAGTGTATCAAGTAATTGACCAACAGATAACAAATTACAATGGATATTGGGAACTAATAACGCACGAGACAAGGACAGAGTTGGAGTGAGAGAGATTGTGCCCTCGCCAGTAATTGGAGAGGGCAAGCCATTAGCACTAGTTATGTATGGGTCACGGGTGTTACTAGACAACTCATCAAAAAATTTAGCATCATAAGTCATATGATCAGAAGCACTAGTGTCAATTATCCAAGTATTGGAGCCAGTACCTGGAATAGAGTCAGAAAGACGCAAATTTGCAGAAGCAGCAGCAGCAGCACCAACAATGGAGTTATCACCCATAATTGTAGCAGAAACTCAACAAAGCACGCAGAGTATACAACAGAACACAGCACAGACACAAATACGGCAGATGCACGAAGACAGGCACAAAGATAGTAGGGGCACGAACACGACAGGGTACACAGCGGAACACAGCAAAGGCACAGGCACAAGAACCCTAAAAGAAATTAGTGCACACAGTAGAACATGGGTGGGCACAACACACAGGTCACCAGAAACTAGGCTCTGATACCAAGTCAAATAATATGGTAGAATATTTTTTGATATATTTCATTCTCCGAAAGGAGGTATTTATAATACAAAGTTACAAACCCTAGTAGAGTTAAACTAGGAAATAAGTGGAATCCTAATTACATAATATCTATACAAAAGGAAATAAATAAAATAATATCCTACAATTTATAATACAAGGTTGTAAACCCTAGTAGGGTTAAACTAGGAAAAGAAGTGGTATCCTAATTACATAATATCTATACAAAAGGAAATAAATAAAATAATATCCTAATAGAATAGGGATATCTCGCTAACATGTTATGTACTGATTCTGGGTAGTTGGGTTTATTGCTGTCTGGCTGTTTGTTAGCCCTTTGTTTCTTTCTTCCTGGTGGTGTTGGTGGATTTCTTGTCCACTTGTTCCACCTTTTTTTTCGTGTTTGCTGTTGTGCTTGGTTAATTTTCTTTTTAATTGTGTGGTTTTTTTGGAGCTCTAAAGCCTTTGATTCTGTTGTTTTGAACTTTATGTCTGGTTTATTGAAATACTTTTTAAAGGTTTTTTAGCTCAAAAGTGAAAACTGATGCAATCTTGCTTCAAATTTATCCCCTAGGATTGCCTTCTTTGGCCCACAGGATTTGCAGCCAATATGGCGTTGATGGTAGCTTTGGGAAATGTTGGCTCTCTCTTGGCTGCTGGAAAAACACCTTTAACTAATGAAAAAATTGCAATTTTTTCTGATGCACTAAACCAAGCGTTAATAACCAATGGTATTCTTCTTGCCGAACGACAAAAATCTGTAGAGATATTCATCTATAGACATTATGACATGACTCACCTTAATGTATTGTTGTAGGTCTTAAACTTTCTGTTTTGAATTTGTGTGCCTCTTCTTATTGGATATGCACTTCCTTCTGTCCATAGCTTAGAAATGCATTTTGTGTTGTGACAGATCAAGTTGCACAATGAGGAAGAAAGTCGTCATGACTGATAGGCAAGTGCCACTATTTTTAAATGCTACTTTCTGTACCATCATTTCAGTTGGAATCAAATTCACATTCATATGAAGTGTTCCTATTGCTTTTATTTGTTATATTTCTCATGAATTGTTTTTGTCTTTCACTACAGCTTGTTTAGTATGGACGGAGACTTTGCACCAATGATTGAGCTTGTGAAGCTAAGCAAAGCGCATGGCTTTCTGTTAGTTATTGATGATATAAGTCTTCTTGAGTTATTCCGCAGTAAAAACTTGTGAAACCTTTTTAAGGTTAAATCTTGTACACACATCAATGATTGTCTTAATTATATTATGAATGAATTCCCCAGTTACACCCAAAAATCAACTAGTCCTCCTCATTGATTAAATATGTCTGTAGTACAGGAAAAAGTTGGTCTATTTTTTTCGTTTTCTTTTTATGTAGGCATAAGGTATTAGTCATAAACAGAAAATATTCTCTTTGACTCAGGCTCATGGAACATTTGTTTGTGGCAAAAATGGTGGGGGAGTGGCAGAGCAATACAATTGTGAAAGAGATGTTGACATATGTGTTGGGACTTTGAGTAAGGCTGCAGGTTGCCATGGCGGATTCATAGCATGCAGGCAAGTGTTCATGCTATCCTTTTTCTTAGTAACAATAACAGATATTATAATTTGTAAATGTTAGGTTTATAGTAGTTAGCAAATATGAAATGAAAATACTGTGCACTATTCCTGAATTTCTCTGAAATATGCTAAAATAAGGAGGGAAAACTGTGGCAGTTGGTTTTAAAACTTAATACTTTAGGTGTTGAAGTAACGGGTTCTTGTGTGTTCCATTTCTTTCTTTGTAATGGGTTCTTGCCATATAAACAGCAAAAGGTGGAAGCAACTCATACAATCAAGGGGTCGGTCTTTTATATTTTCAACTGCTACGCCAATACCAATTTCTGCTGCTGCCCGTGGTAATATATAATTTTGTTTGTTACAGGTGCTTTAGTTGAATATAATCCCTTTAAAACATGTGATACTTATTAATATAGAAGCTTCTTTTACACTGATTCCGGTGCTTTATTTATAATAAATGTTGGTATGCAAGGACTGGCAGTCTGGCTGAGTGGTAATAGGCAAGAATGTAGATGGCCTTCAAATGGATGGGTTGAAATTAATGTTGTTTCTTATAAAAAAAAATATTAATTTGGTTTCTGTTTTGGTGGTGATTGCTTGATAGGCTTGAGACGAAGTATACTCAATTAAAAGAGAGATTGTTGTTTTCGATTGCTTGTCCCAGTTAAGTTTTCCATGATCACTTTTTTCAATTGTTTGCTTGTACTACTGTATACTTTTCTTCTCTTTTGTTGATGTGCCTTCCCTTTTAGCTTCTGACAGATTCAGGTTCATGAGAAAACAACCAGAAAAAGTGATCAATAAAACATAAAATTGCTTCTCATTCAGGTCCTCTATTTTTTTTTTCTGGATTAAAGGCATGCATGCACTTTCCTAAATAGACAATTAAAATTTTGTAGAAAATTGCTTCTCATTCAGGTTCTTTGGTGAGCAGGAAATAGAAAAAATTTATTTGAAAGAAATTTGGAAAGTCTGCTTTTTGAAAGATTGAAATTAAGGGCTGTTTGGAGAGTTGGTTTTGGTAAGCAGTCTTTGTGAACTTTTAACTTTAAAAGCAACATCCCATATAATGTGAACATTGAGATCCAATGGCCACAATTATGCTGAGAAAGAGAGAGAGAGAGAGAGAGAGAGAGAGAGAGAGAGATTGTGTCAATCCATTTTCACTTTTAATTCTCATTCAAGTTTGGTTCTTGTCTTGTGGTTTTTTCTCTGTTTGAGCAATTTGGCTATTTTATGAGCTTGCATGTGTTTTATAGGTCAACCATGGAATCAATCAGGGTTCTGGACCATTGTGGACATTTTATCTCTGAAGGCATTTTGTTTCAGCATCCCCAAAACAATCAAATTGATCTTCTTCTCTGGGCCACTTGCTGTCGCTCGCATATAACACACACACAAGCGTTCAGGTTTGAGATTGTTACTTGTTAGTAATGAAGGATCATTTTGGTAAGATTCTAAGATGTAATTTTAGACCCAACTGAAATCCCAATGTTGAATGCTCTCTGAAAATGGTGCTGTAGAAGTAACTAGTTTTCAGTAAACAAAGGTGTACATTATTAAACGCAATTAGTTTTTTTTTAAGGCTTTAGGATGACAAAAATAACAATTTGATTTTGCACTTCATATTAAACACAATCTGAGATGCATTTCCTTGTTTATAGAAAATTCAGAGCACATACTTGCTCTTGTAATTTCTAGACCTGCAGTCTCATTTTCTGATCTTGTGTTTTAATGCAGGTGTGGTTGGAATTATTTTAGTACCCACTCACTTTTGGACATGAAGCATTACATCCTCTCAAACTATCTTGGAGATCATCTTTTTGGATGTTTACATTGTTTTGGATAGTGCAAGTAGGATTGACTTTGTGGGATTATTTAAAGACAACTTTAATGTACTAGAATCATTTTGAATAATAGAAATATAATTTAGAGTACTTTGCCTTTGTGTCTTCATTTTTTTATTTTCATATATTAATTTCTTTTTGCATAATTAAAATGATGGGATATATATATACTGATTAAGAATTTTTATTTAAAAAAATTAAATAATTTCAATGACATCTAAACTGCGTCATGAAAAATATTTCAATGACATTAGCGTCGTTAAGTTCAATGACGCCTAGTCCGCGTCATTGAAACCCTATTCCATGACGCGGAAAATATGTCATGTTTTGAAAAAGTGTCCACGACACGCTATCCGCATCATTGAAACCCCATTCCATGATGCGGAACAGACATCGTGTTTTGGAAAAGTTTCTACAACACGCTATCTGCGTCATTGAAATCGCATTCCATGACGCTACTCAGACGTCATGTTTTGAAAAAATTTCCACAACACACGATCCGCGTCATTGAAACCCCATTCCATGACGCGGAACAGACGTCGTGTTTTGAAAAAAGTTTCCATGACTCCCCCTTTCGACGACGCAGGTTACGACGCCTAATCTGCGTCATTAAATGTCTTCCATGATGCAAATCAGACGTCATAGAAGGGTTTTTGTGTTGTAGTGACCCCATATGCATTTGCACATTTCCGAAAAATATTCTCCAATGTCGGGTTTCTCCATAAACTATTCAAGATATGCCATATGCAATATCTATGGAATGTTGTTGGGAGAGTTAAAGCAATTGCCTTTGACATGGCCGCATCTTGATCAGTGATGATCATTTTGGGTGGCTCACCTGGCATGGCTTTCTTGAATTCTTCGAACAACCATACAAATGAATTCGTGGTTTCACTAGTTAGGAATGCACAACCAAACAACACTATCTGCCTATGGTTATTAACGCCTAACAAAGGCGCAAAGATCATCCCATAGTGGTTCATGTTGAACGTCGTATCAAATACCACCACATCCCCAAAAAACCCATAAGCTCGTCTTGACCTTGCATCTGCCCAGAAAATATTTCACATCCTTCCTTCCGAATCTACCTCTATATTGAAATAAAAGGATTCATTTTTTCCGTGCTCAGCCAAAAAATGCTCATTCAGTAGCTCTGCATCATGCCCAATCACCTCCCCACACACGTCCCTTGCATAATTATAGACATCTCTCCTAACAAACCCAACATTTTCCAATCCCCCTACTTGCACCTCAAGAAGGCTTACATGTTTATGTACAAGGATATTAACTTTGCTCATATGCAGACTCTGTTAAGTTACGATGAGATCTCAACATATGGACTTTATCAACTGTGGTCATGTCATGGTTGTGTACCTCATTGAATCCTACAACAGTGTACTTATTCTTCTCTTTTACCTTCAAGATCTCAAGTTTAGCCTTGCACCCAGTTCGAGTACAACCTCGCTGTCTTTTCTTACGACTAACAGTGCTTGTCAACGAATACCCTTATTTACAGCATACATATTCTCTTGTGAATATGCACGTTCTCGTTGTAGAACACCGAATACCGAATCCGGCTTTCGTGGCATGCATATTATAGAAATTGAACACATCCTCACAGCAATCAAATTCAAGTCCCAATTTTGGTTTCAAGTCCGAACTAACTTCTGGTGTCACCTGTCCTTCTCACTCCATTTCACTGTTCACTACTACAAAAAACGAAATAGACGACGGGGATCCACCGTCGTTGTAATGCTTTGAAATCCGTCGTTAAATAGACCGCCGTCTATTTGGGTGTCAAACTACGACGGCTTTTCACCGTCGTTGTTTATCCGTAAAGACGACGGTTTTTAAAGAAAATCGTCGTTGTTTAAAGGTAAAGATCGTTAATTATAGGATGAAAGACGACGGTTTTAAAAACAGTCGTGTATTGTATGTAAAGATGACGGTTTTTTATGAAAACTGTCATCTTTACATACAATAGACGACCCTTTTTAAAAAAAAACAGTCATCTTTACTTCACAATAGACGACCCTTTTTAAAAAAAACCGTCATCTTTACATATAATAGATGACCATTTTTTAAAAAAACTGTCATCTTTACATATAATAGACGACCCTTTTTTTAAAAAAAACGTCATCTTTACCTATAATAGACGACCTTTTTTATAAAAACCATCGTTAATTATCTGTAAAGATCATGATTTATTATAAAAACCGTCGTCTAATAAGTTCCCAAATTGCTACATTTTAGTTCTTTTTGATTTCCTATGAGGCTATACAACGATTTTAACTAGAAAACCAACCATAATGCTTTATTAATGAATATATACACTCAAAAATAGTTTCTTTCATAAAACTTGAAGATTCAATAGAATAGTTTCTTTATTCTACAACAAACATAATTCCTAACAAGACCTACGTACTCCTAATCCAAGCCTTCCTCATCCAAACATACAAATGATGCACAACTGAAGTCTCGTCCATCATCCCTGTAAATAAATCAAAATGACAAAGAGAGAAAAAAAAAAGCTAAGATTATAAACATAAAAAATTAGGT